GCAGCCGATGGCACGCTCGTCGCGTGAGCGCTTCTCGGTTTTGGCGCGTTTTTCCCCCGCTGGAAATTGCGCAACACGTGGCATCCAGCAAATTGAGCAAAATGTTTGTAGACATTATATATCTTTCCGGAGCACGTAACTTCTGTGATAATGAAGCCACGAGCGATCTAATGCCGCGATTCTTCACTCCGTTTGTCCTGCGAACGTCCTTCCGATGGAAAATTGCGCGTAATGTTTCCTCGAAGAATATGTTTCATTTTCGAGGACGAACAAGCTATTAATCACGGACTCTTTGTTCCTTTGTCATTTGTTTTGCATTCTAATTCTTTCGTGGCCAAAAATTGCTTCGGCTGGGTCAGGTCTTTGTGAATCGATAAACTTAAATCTGTTACACTTAAACTACTTGTAGTAAAATAATAGTTTCGAAAGGTGATCAATTTTATATCGTTATTCGAACTTCTTTTTTTTTGCATCAGCTGGAACTGTTCCTTCCAACATTTTCAAATTTTAAAACGTATGGTGAACAATTCTCATTACTTTCTATTCACAGGAATATTTTTTAATGACAAACGAGCTGTCGACCACAATCTCTTTGTTTGATCTTATAATTCTTTTACAGCCAAAAATTGCTGTACGAATGTTCAAGTATCTTATTTAACGAAAGTTCTTTCGAATGTTACGGATCATAAGTATACATTACTCTGATTGAACTCTTTCTTCTTTCACTTTGCTGATGGTGGGTTATGTTTGCACCTCCTTTTTATCAGAGTAAAAGTATGTCATATCAAATAAAAGATAGATAGCATATACAGAGTGCACCTAAAATAAATGACTAAATATGCATTGATATTATTTGATGGATGTTCAAATGCATTATTCAACGAAAATCGTTGCGAATGTTGCTGATCGCAATTAAATACGCATTACACTGGCGTTGGCTCATTTTTTTCGTTTTAAATCTAGGTAGTATATAAAGCGTGTTTCTAAATAACTAGCAACATTTGAATGTATTCTGTTCGTTATAATGATAAAAAATATTAAACAAACGTATATTATATATTATATATTGGCAAGAAAAGTTCCAGCAATCGAATAAGCTGTCAAGAATGTGAAAATCATTTATTATTGCTCATACTCTACAGCGGAATGTTCTATTGTTATATGAATAATGTTAAGAATGACAAAACTCCTTTTGCTCGAGGAATCCATTTTAAGCATTTCCTCTGACGTACAACTGTAACACGCTATAACTGGGGAAGACAACATTTCCGGAGTTACGTTCCTATTTCTGCCATTACAATGAGTAGAATATATTCGTAATGTTTGACCAGTTATTTTAGAAACTCTGAATAAACGTGGAATATTTGCTTTTTATGTATCAAATAGAAAGAAACGACACAGTAATTCGTCGCCAAGAACGCATATTACAATTGTCTTAATCCAACGTCTTCGTCCTAGTTGCGATGCCTTTTCGGAGAAATAATTAAAATTACGAAAGAGCTCCAATTACAGATTAATGACATTATTTTGCAATAGTTAATTTGCTGCGGAGAGGTTGAGGACGAGTTATTAGTGCGACATCGCTGGAAAATTCGATTGCGAATATTTATTATGATTTCTTTACAGTTTCAACGTTAAGTTAATAAAATAATTTTTGCTCTTTTATGCTCTGTAATAGGAACTGTTTTATCAAAAACGCGAGATCATGTTGCGATATACATCGTCCATTTCTATCGGAAACAAACGATCGTGTGTTTATCGAGCGTAGGAGCCCAAATTCGTGGACGTGATATTTATCAGTAAATTGTAATACAGGAAACGTCGAGTATCGAATTGGGAAGGTATACGTGAAGTTTTACGGTAACTGTGTGGTTATATGTATAGTTCACCGATCCCTTACGTCGCATTATTGTCACACTGTCGATGGTTGCGAAATTCTTCATTAAATTACTTCGGTAAACACGGACCCAGAAAGTATTTTAAGCCATCGTGGTAAACGTATGTAGCGTGGCCAATAAAGCTGGGCGGAATTTTATTTGGATAATAGATGGCTAATAAAAAAAAGCGATTTAATCCCAACGTTTACTCGATCGAAGTAATTCGGATAAGATTTATTCGTTCAACGTAAAGTATAATTTGATTATGATACTACAGACTGTAGTTTTTATCTAACAAAAAAAAAAACGGTTCGAAAGTTGCTCTTCTTTTATTCGTTATTTGAAATTTGTTATTTGCCGGCTAAATGTTGGCGAACAATCGGAACTTGAATTTTGCAAACACAACCGTCTGGAAACTGACAAAAACAGCGACTGACAGTTTCGATTTCTTAACTGGTAAATTGCACTAATTAACCTCTAACTCGTTCAAGGAACATCGTATTAACTCATTTTATTCTAATCGCCGGATTAGACGCGGTCATCTTGCGGCATAGAAGAAAGCAGAGTTTGGTGCAACGCGTTGAAATGCGCGCGTAAAACGGTTACGTAAATTTGATCATCCTTACCGAACAGCCAAAATTTATTTATACCGTGGTAAGATTTATTAACGTAGGTATATCGAATCGGGTGCCCGATCTTATACATACGCGTGGACACGTGCAAACATTCGTTATGTAACACACACATTTGTGATACCGTTGTCGAAAGCTGATTAGATTTGTCCTTCATAATTTTTATAATTCAATGTTAATGCCGAACAATTGATTTTTTTAAACCACAGTCGTTTTATGTCGAAATTCGAATTCTTATGGCATTTTTCTAAAAATTTCTAACGATATAACAGTTGTATTTCTTTGCTCTTGCAAATGCTTGGTATATGTATGGTCGAGGATATTATATTATATTTTTTCTTTAGATTAATTGTACAAGTAGTTTCTGAAGAGGACCAGCATAAAATGATTAAAATGTGAAATATACTTATAATGGTTTTACATTGTATGAAGAAATTCTTTTTATTTGATTGGGTATTTCTTTATTCTATTTATATTTATTAAGCAGTATATATCAGTTTAGATTGTGCAATTCATCAGTATATAATTTAATACAAAATTATAGTATAAAGTGACGATGAATTTAATACTGGATCATCATCAAATAAGGAAAATTCAGGACCACAATCAATTGCTTGGCTATTATATAAGAGAGATTGTTCATTGCATTCTATGAGACCCAAGCATCACTATATTTAATGGAATTTAAAACTCACATTGCATCTTGATTATGTCAGGAGCACAACGGAATTAGTAGGAAAAAAGGGCGCCATGTTTCAACTTTCGTAAATAAGCAATTAGAAGACAATTCTATTCAAATGCAACATACATCTATGTTTAACGCCAAGTGCAAACTGTTTTATGAAATTTCACGCTTAAGCTTTTATGCACAGAAGTGCAAACATTATAAGACGTTGTTACATAAAAGTTGCAAAGTAAATTAATTATAATAAAATTGTTTAAACTGGTCAATTTTTTTTAATCTGCATACATAGGTTTATAATTTTATATTTAAAAAAAAAATCGGCCCATAGAGGGTTACAAAAATAGTAATAAAGTAACACGTTTGCTTTACTATTATTTGAGAATGTCATTAAAATTTTGTTTGCAAAAACCAATATGTGTAGAAATTTGTATTCTTTAGATTCAAGTTATTACAATGTATTTTCATTTTTACCCAAAGCAAAGGTAAAAAGTAAAATTTAGTTATACGGAATTCTAGGGTATCTTAATTGCCATACTCAGAACAAACATTGTAATAAATATAATCTAAATAAGCACAGATTTATGTGTTTTTACGTTTAAACCATAAATCTTGAATGAGACTCAAATTAGGGATCGAAAAATTAATCTAAAGTACACTATGCTTATTCAGACTACGTTTGTTATAGTATTTATGATAATAACAAATGCATATTAAAATTGTTCCAGTGATGGTTTCACTTTCTTATAAGTTTAAACTAATTTTCAGTTATTTTTACAAATTTGTAATTTTCTGATATATTTTTAATAACGCTACGTTTTCTTTTATAATTGTTTTTAGGATATGTTTTACCCGAAGAATATCGTAACGTTGTAAACAAAAAATTCAAGTAGTTTTACAGTACTTGTTACGACCAAATAATTTATAAAATTCTTTTAACTGTAACTGTAACTTTCGGTCAGCTTTCTTATTTCGCGAATTTTATGTAACCATTTCAGTTTCTCACTTCATGGTTCGCGCTTCCGCCTCGGATGGAAATCTTCGGCAATGTTCTAATTGTCGTTTACATACTGGCTACAATGCAAGGGGTGACCGAGTTGTATATGCATCGGCGACATCGACGGTCTCTTCATGAATTTCAAACAGTTCCGTGATATTAATAATAAGCATTATTAACTCAGAAGCGCCTACCAGGGTAACGGTTATCGAAATGGACGGTGTATCGTAATTTATCATTTAACCTTTTATTTTCGATCAGTTCAGACCGAGGCTCGAATGCACGCTTTGTAGCCCCACTGTTGAAACTAATAACTTATAAAAAGAATTCTATGCCGATACATGTTGGTACGTTAACTCGAAGAGTCTTAAAAATACACCATTTCGATTTATTGACATTGCCATCGAGCCTTACCGTTACCTCCCAACGAAACTTGGTTTAAAAATTCAAAATATAATCGCTGCGCAATCACTGACATATCAGTATTTACAGTTTTGAATATTACTTTCAAACACTGATCGATTTATATATTTTTGAAAATTATTTCGTTCGAATTTCATACGCATTCTTCGGTCGGTCGCGTGTCCCGAAATATACCACTAGAAATATGTGCACAAATATTTAAATCGCACAGGTTAAATAATTTCAATGACGTTTCCGTTGTACGACACTCGAGATTATTGGAATATTATTTGTACGAAAAACGTTCCACGCTCAATAAAGAATTCGCAGGGTGCCAGAACGCGCGAGCCGAGATCGAAATTCGTTTCGTGCGAATAAACGCGAACAAAACGGTGATGAAAGAAACTTACTCGTCAAGAAAAGCGGCCCAAGCGTGAAGATCAAGAGAATCATGATTGAAAGCAGCTATCACTTTTCACAGCGCGCGAAACTTCTTTAACACTATCGTTACTGATCCCCGATACGTCTACCTTTGAAATGCGAATACTCTGTTACGGTCGGTGGTCGACTGAGCACTGTCCGCCTGTCGGCTATGTTAAATAAGAGACCACCGCTTTTATTTCGCGGTAGCCTATCGACTCTGCTCAAATTTAATAGCGGCACACAGTCGAAGAAGCTCGCGATAGACAATCGAGCAACGATATCAAAGAAAGTCTGTCAAGGGGAGGTGTGTCACCCCGATGGTGTTTTCCCGATGACTCAGTCGGGCTTTATGTACCTCAAAAATTAGAGATCCCCGAAATCGATACGTATGTAGTTTCGTCAACACTTATTCATATTCCCGTGCTGGTTCAACGACTTCTTTGTTTATCGTGCCAGCATCCGTTTATAAATGGTTTAGAAATAAACTCGAAACAGTTGGTTGATAATGAGGAACATTTCTCGGAAAGAATTACTGTATTTCTTTATCTACGCGTCGGCCAAATGTCTGGACCCTCTTCCAGAGACAACCGATGCTCACTTTCTGGTAAATTTACATTTTTACATATCACTGAACGGCTGTTTCTTTACACTGTATAAAATTGTTGGAATATTTTCGGCTAAATTTCGTTTAGGGGCGCCAAAAATTAATTTTAAATTTATAGGCAAGCGATTATAGGTTTGAGTTTGGGTTAAATTATGATTAATGTTAAATTGAAGATAAATAAATAACGGATAGCGACGATGTCCAAAAAATACAACTTAATAAATTATGTAAATTTTTATGACGTCGGAAACCATTTGCAAACAATATGTTTTAAAATGTTTTTTTTTAATAACTTTTCAATCAGAAGTTTCTAAACAACAAAATTTATATTTTTGAACTTCGATCGTCAACTATATTATTAATCAAATGCAGTATTGTATCTATGATACGCGCAAAGGGCGCAACTTTATATTCAAAATGAACAAATTTATTAATATTATACTACATTATTCTTACTAAATTTCCTAATAGTAGTGAAATCGAGAATATTTTCAGTTATTAACCATTTTACTCCTTATTGCATAACATTATGTAGTATATGTAATATGTCTTCTTTCGTACTTGTCCAAATATTCTATTATAATTTTAGGGAAACTAACTTACATTATTAATTAAATGCCTTGAGTTATGGTTGTATTAAACATAGAAAATAATAATATAATACCAAAATTGTTTATTCAGATTTAAAATATCAACGAATTTTTAAACCTGTTTTTCTTGGAAACCTTAAAAATAATATAGAAATCAAAGAAATAGGTAGTAATAAATTTGAGACATTCCTATATGGTTTTTAAATAGTATATCGTGAAGAGGGTTAATATTTCGTCGAAATGGAGGGAAAGAAATCCATTAATTTTTTCTAAAAAGAATCTCCTATTATCAACGAGAATCACTAATGCGGCTCTCCCGAGTTTAATACTGACTTAGGAGCAAAAAATAAAGGAAACGAACCACCATGTTCGGAAATGAGTCGAGAGAAATCGTGTATTCATAAAGAAGAGGTACTTCGGCTCGTACGCCGACTGAAGTATGCAATGCCTCTGTCAATTATCACTCGACGCGCGTTTCTATGAAATAGATCTGCATTCGGATTTTATGATTCTATAATCAGTATGCAGCTCCGTTACATTATTTAGTGCTTTATTTGTTATCTCCCGTCTCGCGTATCGTATGTTTAAAGTTGAGACTTGGATTGTGTAACAATAAATTGCAAATACGGCTGTTGCGATACACGTCTCCTTTAAATATTCCATAGCCGTAGATACTGGTCGAAATGGTAATTAACGTTCGTTAACAATATAAACTTTATGCATGTAAGACGTGTTCCTATGCATCGAATGTTTGTCTTTGGCATTCTGCCTCGATTTTTTTCTACTGAGATCAGCGTAAAATTATAGTGCAATTTCGTAAGGTACACAGGGTGGTCCTGAAATCGTGGTGCAACTGGAAACAGAAGATGATTTCTTGTGTAAAATTACTACGTTTTAAACCAGCCACGATCTGCTTAGTTCGTCCGATCTTCTACTGGCTGGCCAATGCTACTGCTATTTATGTTCATAAACAATGTCAAGATCGTTAATATTATGATTTCGGAATCATCCTGTATATGTTACCGTATAGGTGAGTCAGTAAATTTATGTAATTACCAGTGAATGTTTAACTTTACTAATTTGGTAAGCGAGTGTGTATTTTGGTGTTTCTAGTTCAAAGTTCCTAGCGAGTGTTGTTCCTTTTTGAAAATTCATTCACATATGTACAGTAGGAGTTTGATTATTGCAGAGATTTGGTGCTGAAAACTTCCGCAATAAAAGGTAAACAACTTAATGAGAAGGCAAACAACTTAATGAGAACAAGCTGGCACTGCGTATCCCCACTGCTTGTGGCTCGTGCGTAACTTCTCCATCTTCACTTGTTGCTTGACTAGCGTCCCCTTTACTTGTCACCATCGTGCAATGAACGAAACTCTCGTGCAATGATCGAGGTTCCACTGTATCGTTGTGCAATATGTTACTTACCAATATCTACCTAACATCTTTAGAAAGTAGTAACGAAGGATATTATTAATGGTGAACATCATTTCATTCATTTTATCATTTAATTATTGCTGTACCTGTGAATTAAAATAGTTAACCTTTAAAAGATTCTTTTTAAAATGGTTGTATTTCTATTGCTCGTCGTTAATTCTATCGTCATGTTAACAGTCACAAACTAACTCAAACCATTATGTACAACAAGGAACTCCATTACTAAAGAGGAACAAACACTAGGGAGTGTATACAATCATATGAAATTGAAATATTTTACTTCGATTCGAACCACTACGTACGAAAATTAAATTTAGCCAATTACTCAAGAGAAACAAACACTAGGGAGTGTATACACTCACGGTGTTTAAAATACCATTCATTAACTAGACAAGGTATATAATCAGTCGCCAAGATTTTCTCTCGGTCATTGTATAACTCAGAAATCTAAGCAAAAATTCTTTCAAGTTGACTACCAACGTGTAGTTCATTGGTTGTAGTATAAAAGGTCAGTAGATGGTTAAAAATGAAATTTTTTTGTTGCGATTAGTGAAACTTGAAATATACAAAAAGTTTGTTGAAACTGTTGACATTTTTAAAGATAACGTTTACTCTTTCAAAAATATTTACAAATCCTGCGATTCCTCACTTTTCTTGTCGAAAGAGCCCCTAATCGTTTACAAGCCCTGGGCCTAAAAAATTTTAATCCGAACCTGCAAACTGTTACACTCTTTTCAATTGATACGATGGAAGGAAGTCTCCTATTTAAGGCTTTTGCGACACGTGAGTGGCAGCTTGCGGCTCTTTGACGTTGAAAACAAGACCGAATGTTTTACTCTGGATGTATTAGCTTCCGTTTCGCTAGATTCCCTTCCGCTCGTGGTTTTCTCTATCGGCCCCAGATTCGTGGAGTTACCGTTCATTACCTAATCAGTGCGCTGGACATTATTGGATAAATACCTAATGGTATCCTGTTCTTTGTGAATGAGACATCGATTACCGTCAAGAAGTCTCTATTACACGTTACACGTGCTACAAATTTTTCAATTTTGATGTTGGAAAAATCTAACCGGTCAATGTGACCCATTTGCAACTGCGTATGCACGTAGACGAAAACTGAAAAATGTTTAAAAATCACTTTGTTTGTAAATACTTTGTACTCTTTATGACGTTAAATTATTCTGACCGTATCGATTAATTTTTAATCGAAAGAAAAATATTTTAACAATAATCATTAGTAGCAATTATTATGGAATGAAAGCTTCGGGATTTACATACTTGGATTCCTGTGAGTTATGCGAAATATCGACATTAGCTGCAGCTGCTTCAACGAGCACCTGAAATATTTTATGAAGGTCACCTGATTTGTTACGTTTCGGAATAAAGATTTCATGCGACCACTATTAGATTGTTAGACCCAATTTCACAAGTGTTATGTAACTGTTACAGAAATTGCTATATTGTGTAAAAGTAATTCTCGTGGCAATATATTTGGAAAGAGGACTAAGGTAAAGGCGTATTCATTCGCGAAAGGTCAGCAAGATAATCATTTTGGAGCGACGGTGACAGGTCCGTCGTGATTTATATTTTTGGCCATTTTAATAAACTGTCATGCAAGTAGTATGATCTATTATAGTACGTGCCCGAGAGGGGGATACGTATTCATTGATCTGGTTTAAAAAAAGAACTAGAGAGATAGTAAATGTTTTCTATATCTTGCGTGTAAATAATTTAATAATTTACAATTGTCAAGATTTTATTTTGCAAAAGTAGACATTCGTCGGAACAATTCGTGAAATTAAATGATTGAATTTGTGTATTCAAAGTGAATAAGATATTGAATTCTAGAAAAAAACATTTTTTTATATCACGTACATGTAACAATTCATATTCAAATTCACATTATAAAATTAAAACTCTATTTTTATGTTAGATCTCTATCAATAGTGTTTTATTTTTAATAACGCAAGAAATAAAACTATGTTATACCTTCTCCGAGGTATCAAGCAACATTGAAGATATTTTTATACTCTTGAGACATTGTGTATATTTAGACACGTATGAAAAAATGTATAGTTGTGAAAACAATGATGCTTTGTCACGTGAGCTATTATTAGAAACGTATTTTAAATTAGTTCCTTCGTGTGTCATTCTTATCAGGATATTTTGGATATAGTTTTTTTTTTTTTTTAAATATAAATACAATCATGTAAAAAATATTTTTCCTTTTTAATTTTGTATTAAACAAATTTTTTTTTAATGTTTCTTGTTTGCTATATCTCCGTGCAGGTTGGAAATTATGAAAAGTGCCAAACACAATTTCATCATTTTTCATTTTTATCCTATTATGACATGTGGAATAATCCCTTAAAAGATTGTTCACCTATAGATAAACACTGTATTTTTTAAGTTTATATATGTATATACATACATGTATATGAAAATAGATACAATTTAATTTGTTTTACAAAAATAATAAAATAGCTTAAATTAGCATTCGAATCTTAATAATTTGTGTTTCTATCTATACGATCTTTCTATCGTCTATTGATTCGAATTGTGCACTCTTACTATTGATTAGTGCATATAAAGATGTCGCTAGTGGACTCTTGAAGATCAAGATTTTGATATGGACACATTAGATCAGTGAGTGGTCTAAGTTGTCATTTTTTTTTTTAAACATTTTTATTTTAACATAGAATGTGGCATAAATGGCGTAATTTTTAATTAGAGCCGTAGCAAATACTGCAGAATTTATTGTGTGGCTTCTAACAAAAACTTTGCGTTGTAAATGATGTATAACAAGTTTGAACGGTGTTTCAGCATGAAATACTGTAATGAAATCCAAAAAAGGAAGTAATTTGCGATACTCTTCCGCTACCCGTATCCGTATCCGTGTGCCTATCAAGACAAAAAGATCAAAAGAGTATGTCAGCCATGTAGTGTTTCCAAATGAACACATCAAATTTATTTTTAAATTTAATAGAACCTGGCAACGATCAACATTTAACCATCATCGAATCGACTTAATTAAACTTGTTATTGATAAATATATTGGAGTGCGTTATTTTTAAATTAGTAAGAGTCCATCGATGCATCAAGAAGTAGAAGGCATTTTTTAAAAAAAATTTCTATATTACCTAAGTAGTAAGTAATTACTTTAGCTCATAACACGTGAAAGAAGATATGCGTTTAAATTTTGCCGCTTTTTGAGCAGATAGCGCCACTGATTGACCAAAGTACGATGGCAAAAGGTCATCTTGAAGATCATTTCCCCTCGAAGTTGAGGCTTCTCACCTCTTGCCCCAAATATTACACTCTGCACCGTCCTTCAGGTGTGCTGTGGTAGTAGACTCGCATCTCAGAGGCTAGATATGATCCCTTCCTACACAGATTGCGAGATAGTTAATAAAATGCTGTCAGAGTAGCGTGCGTTGCGAACTGGCCCGTGCGAGTCGACCAATCGGGAATCGTTTGTGAGTCGGTTTCTTATTTAATCGAATCAATTGGAAACAATATTTATCCAAATTACGTGATTAAAAATTTGTAGTAAATAATCACCTTTCAATCTCACTGTGCATTGAATAAAATTTTCTTTGCGCGCAGTCAAACTTTTGCAATAGTTAATGCCACCTCTTTTGCCACTTTTACAATTGTTTACGTACAATGTTATTCTATAAAATCCAGTTTTCGTCCCCTGTGATCACTTGCCTAAAAAACGGATGATTTTCATTGCGCTTTAGATCACATTTGTTTGATCACAATTTGAAATATTTGAAATATGTTGTGACTACAAAAATTAGGCGGAGTTAGTTGTACACCATACGTAGTTAGATAATTACAAATTAAAAATATTTAGTAGACTATCGACTTGGCGAATCTGTTTTGAGTTTCATATTGAAATGTCATGGTCCTGAACCTGAGCCCCAATTCATTTTGGCTGCATGCCTCAAGAGCGTTTCAAAATGGACAACTGTCTGATCTTTCTGCTATTTTCCTTATACTGCTAGTCACCACTGTAACGGATTTTTAATATTTCAAACATACTCCTCAAATAACACTGTCTCCTTTATTTAAGTGTGTAATTTGCAGTTTACTTTATCTTAATTTTCATTATTTCAATATATTTCAAAAATGGCAACAACATGCTTCGTAAATTAAAGTGCAACATTAAAATGCAACACGTTATCTCTATTTTTCGACTGTTCAAGTTAAACTATTCTTTCTTATATTTTCTTATATCTTCGTAATTTGCATTAACATTCTTGACTACTGTCTAAAATAATATTTTGATTATCGTTAGAGTATTTTTTAAATCCAAGATTTTGATTCCACGCGTCGAAATTTAGATGTTAACTAAATATCGAAAATTTTAGCTTCCGTCTCGTAATAACATCTTCGTTGACTTTTCGTTAGCATCGCTTTCAATATTTATCACATTTTGCTCTTTGAAAGCCAATTAGTAGAACCGAATCGTCTGTAAAAAACGTCGAAAATCCGTTACATTGCAGACTTATTTTCCGTACGTACTACATCGGAATTTTGTATAGTTCTTATTACAATTTTTACAATGGCAGTGCCCGAGTTCATTTTGACTCAAATCTGAATTTCGTTATTTCACATTCCAATGTAATATTTCTGGCTTAATTTTTGCATTGTTATATTTGTAAATTCTGTATTTTTTTTATGTATCATCTATTTTAGAAGTTCATATATTATTAATATTGTTATGTAAGCAATTATTGACTTTGGGGAAGGCAGCTGAATAAACTGTCTAAAGACGTATTCTTCTTATTACTATTTTTATTCGCAATAAATCGTGGTTTTAGATTTTTGGCGAAACTGATTACTCAAAAGCGTTACAAATATAACTCGTCGGTTAAGTGATATGGAAGAAAGTAATGGAGTCGGCTCAATTGCTGAAGTTGCAAATGTGTGTCCTTCCAGGGCACATCAATCTGTTTCAATGGCTGATTCTTATAGCGAGACATCCGTTTCGGAACCACCTCCCTTTAGTAACTTGAATCTTCTTGACTTACCAATTGAAATTCTTGAAAAGATTTTTAGTTATTTGGACTACGATACCGTGGCCCGTTTACGTCCAGTAAGTGGAAAATACAGTTACAGTCGAAACATATGTTTTACAAATAGCATGAATTATTTATGCAATTTTAATATGTGTGTAAAATAATTTATTTAATTCCATATTTTATTTATGTTTTGCAGGTTTGCCAGCAGATGGAACATATTTGTGCATCAATATTAAATTCTACAATTCTGAAGCTTAAAACGCAAATGTTAAATCGTTACAACGCAATTGAAGCTCAAATACCGAAACCCGAATCTATATGTCGTAATCATCAATTAGTCTGCGAATCACACATAATCGAAACACTTCACATGCGACTTACTTTGCTTCAGATGAGTTTTGGCAACCACGTTGAACGCGCACACTGTTGCTCCTTTCCTGGAAAGGTAATTTATCCTTTTCGTATAGATCGTACAATTAAAAATGTTATTTTATACGAGTATTTTCCTGTTTCTAATTATATTTCAGATTTTAGATGAAGTTTATCGCATTTTACATTACATAAAAGCTACTTCAATATTAGCCAAATAGGACAAAAGAAGATAATCATTTTGGAATTATAGTAACAGGTTCGTCGTGATTCATATTTTTGATCTATTTGATATAATCTGTCATCCAAGTAGTATGATCTACTATAGCACCTACCTGTCTGAGAAGGGGTCACGTATTTATTGATCTAGTTAAAAAAAAAAGCCAATGGGATAGTAAATTATAAAATCAGTGTATTCAAAACATATATGAAAATGTGGTTTATAAGAATTAAATTAAATAAAAATATATTTATACTAATTATTGTTGTGTACAAAAACAACTGAATTCTATTTTTGATAAAGTAGCCGGATAGGGTCTATTTGTCAAAATCATAATTTTTTTTATACCCCTTATCATAACGAATTACAAATATGCTCTGCATTTTTAGATACAGTCGTAGCTAACAATAGTTTGCGTATGATGTATAGCAAATTTAAACGGTGATTCAAGTGATCGATGGAATACTTTCAAATCAAAAGTAGTTGCGGTATCCTTCTATTGTAGTAGAAAGTTTGTACGATACGTGAAAAAGTTATTTATATAAAACGTCGAAATATTGAAGAGTATAATAGCCATACATGTATAACGTGTTTTTATAAATGGACACAATAAGTTTTATTTTTATAATTAATATAATATACTAACGATCTATATTTTATATTTGATCGCAGAATAAACTTTATTAAACTTATTATTACAAAATATTTTATTTTTACATTCATAAAAGATTCTCGAGAAGTAAAAGGCATTCTTTTAAATAAAACTGTATTCTTACATGACTGTTAAACAGTTATTCTCTATTACCTGGTATTCTTAAACATAGGTTCCTATACACGATAATGCAAACAATTTTTATAGGATTGTAAATTATTTATATCGCTCCTAATATATGCCGGTGATTATAAAACTGATGTAAAACATATATATTTCATTTTTAGATATTTAGATTTTCGTGGTTGAGTGTATTAAAAAATATTTTTATATTATAGAACAAAATGTTTTATCGTCAATATCGATCATTATTAGGAATAGAATAGGGATACTGAAAGCAGTAGCAATCTATTAAAAATATATATAGTATTTGAATAAAATTGTTCCATAATACTATAATATATGAATCAATGTAACATAAAACAAATGAAAATCTCAACTTTGTTTTTAGTTTCTTGACTTACGCATATGTGTTTAAATTTTGCCACGCTTCGAACAGATGGCACCATTGGTTCATCAAAGTAAGATGGTTGAAGGTTATTTCGGCGGTCATTTTTCCCCTCTCCCCGCAATTCAGGTACCGCTTTTCTTGCCCTTAATATTACTCTCTGTACCGTCTGTTAGGTCCGTGGCGGTAGCGGGTATGAAATGTTGTATCTCAAAAGCCACGCATGATATTTTCCTGCACGAATTGTGGGACAGTTAATAAAATGCTGTCGGAATAGCCTTCGTTGCGAACTGGCCTGCGCGAGTCGACCAATCGAGAATCGTTCGTGATTCGGTGGGTACGTTTTCACAGAATGTGACAAAACCATTGAACGAAGTGACGATATTACAGATACACATATGTATGTATTGTACGTTTCGTCGCGATAGTCGTCATCGTCGACGTCGGCGTTGTTTGTGCGCCGATCTCGATTCTGACTCTGAAAACAACGATTCGCAGTAAAAACGAACCGCGTAAACTACAGAATAAATTATACCTCGCAGCCGACCTCCCGTTTATCAGCGAACGGACTATATTAGATAGTGGGATTGTTATCCTTTATTCTGGTATTTATAGAGTCGAAGCCGATGCACCCAACTGCGATTTTCTGAAGGGGACAAAAACAGGTCTCAGGATAGGTAACGAAAAAGAAGAACCATTTCAACGCTGCACGCGCGGGCTTTTTTCCGGGTAGAATTCGTGTGTGTGAGTGCGCCATAGTTACACGAGTATATTGCGCTAAGAGAAACGGAGAGAGGCATAGAGAAGGGTACCACAAACGAGAGCGATAGGGCTACTCGAGAAGAAACGAGAGAAACTTCGATAGTGAAACGGAGCGAGAACGAGATCGTTCGCAAGGGTCGTGAGGAGAAGGAAGGGATCTCCGTCAAAATGTCGCTGAAAACACCAACACGGATACATTGATTGCTTTTCGTCATTTAACAGGGGGTATGTGCTCATTCTCGATATCCACGCGTCCTTTTTTTTCTTTGTTTCATCGTTCTCGCGACAAATAATCTCAATTACACAGTGTCTAAAACGTACGCAGCTTTTCCGAAATATGTACAGAGAAAAGTCCTAGGTGCATCGATTGCGCACGGTCACCCGGTTTCCCTCTGTTTCCATCAAATACACCTTTGGGTAAAATAAGTCTTTTAATCACTAAATAGGAAATAGGATATTCTGTTTTCAAGTCTGATTCATCATTATCGAAATAAAGTCCTGCTTTACTTGCATTGAACTTTTTAAATATCACGTTCAAAAATAACGTTTTACTTGCAGTATCGTGAAAGTGGAAGTACAATATTTAAAAAAAATTGTTTATTTCGAACAAACGAGTCTAAATCTGCTATTTAATTATTTAAAATAGAAGAATCGAAAATGCTGTTTTAAATAATAGATATCAAAGTCAATGCTAATTAAGCAATATTCAAATGTAACATTAAAACTTTAATAGTCAAAGAATAAAGTAAAAATATTTTATTTTGAGTGATTTGTTCAGTGTAATAAATAAAATATCTTATTTTTGATCGTAAAGTATCTGAAATATTTGGGATATCTTGTGATTATGAAAATTAGGCTAAAGCAGACTGTATACCATAGTTGGATAATTTTAAATTAGAAATATTTTATAGACCATCAACTTGGCAAATCTGTTTTAAGTTTCACATTGGAATGTCAAGAGTTTAAAACTGAGCCTCACTTTGTTATATTTTGTGGCTACATGCCGCAAGAGAATTGCAAAATGCACAACTGTTTTTAGTTATGCACTTTTGAGGATCTAATAAATGTAAACAACAATTGTTCAGTTAAATGTAAGTATAAATTCATAAAGTGTCTCTAATCATCATTTTTACCACTGTAAAATATTTAAAATATGCTATTCGAATAAAACTATCTTGTTCTTTAAGTTCTTACATTATATTTGAAATATTGTTTAATATGACTTTGTCTACTGTTTAGAATAATAGTTCAACTATTACCCAACTTTAGTTCATAGTCTATTTTAGATTAATTTGCATTATTATAATATATTTAAAATGTTTTAAATACTTCAGAAATGAGAGCAACACATTTTATTTAGTAGTTTAAAACTATAAAGCAAAGAGAAACTTCTTTATTTAATTTTTCGACTATTCAAGTAAAACTATCCTTTTTTATGTTTTTATATTTGAAATACTATGTAACTTATATAGTATTTTGAATATTATTATTCTAAATTTTATCCGGCTTCGATTTGCATTGAGTTTGTACAACTTTGTCGTGCGTGTTGTGTGCACAACACGGCCATTTCGTTACGCTGGCGGGTAAATATATTTATGCGCATCTGTTCGTATTTTTTATTTCTTGATTACTGTACTTCGTCGATGAAGGCATTAGGTGATCACTTTTATGGTGAGGATGTTCCAGATATTCGTCGTTCACCGAAACTAATATCAATTGTATTGCTAGGGTATTTTTTTAACCCAAGATTTTGATTCCTCGTATCGAAGTTTAAAGCTAACCGAAGGTCGGAAATTTTACTTCCCGTCTTGCGACGTTTTTGTTGATTTTTTATTAACATCATTGTTAATATATACCATTTTTATACTTTTCTAAAATCGATTACTAGAACCAAATCGTATGTAAAATTTGACGAAAGTCTCTCTAGGTTACATTGCAGATTTTGTTTTTCATCGATACTGTGACAAAATTTTGTGCAGTTTCTGTAGCACGATTATTCTTAATAATTCGTTTTTAAGTGGAACGTTTTAAAGAAAATGCAAACCTACAGTAATAGAAAATTACGTCGCGTTTACTGTGATTGGGATTAAAAGTCTTTGTCTTGTAATGTTTTTTTGTAGTATAATTTGATTAAATAATTTTTTATTGAAGTTGAAATAATTGTACATATGTTGTGTGAAAATAAATTGGTACAGTGGACTGACAGTTTTAATTATTTATTTCATAATAAAATAGTTTGTAAAGAGGAATATTTTAAACAGTGTGAAGAATTTGTGAATGTTTGTACAAACAATTATAATTTTCATAAGTATGTTGTTGTACAATAATTTTTCTTAAAAGTTTTGGTTTGATTAAAAATTTTTTAAGTGTAATTTGGCTTAACAAGTATAGAGAATGTGAAAGTAACAGTGATATGCTGTCATATAGTTTATATGAGAATATGAATAGAAGTGTGTTTAGGAAAATTGTATTTAATGAAAACATTTTACATTTTTGTTATTGATTATGGTAGAGATAATTTTCTCAATTTCTTTGTCGAAATCATTATACATAAATCAATGTTATTCACAGTAAGTTATTATTTTAGGTTTCTGGTGAAGCTGATTACCTAAACACGTTAAAAATATGGTATCAACTCGTCAGTCAAGTAATATGGGAGGAAGTAATGGGGGCGGGCCGGTTGCAGAAGTTGCAGATGTGAGTCCATCCAGGAGACATCAATCTGTAGCAATGGCTAGTTCTTATAGCGGGGCCTCAGTTTCGGAACCACCTATCTTTAATAAGTTAAATCTTCCGAACTTACCAATTGAAATTCTTGAAAAGATTTTCAGTTATTTGGACTATGATACTGTGGCTCGTTTACGTCCAGTAAGTGAAAAATATAGTTACAGTCGAAATATATGTTTTACACATACTATGAATTATTTATATGATTTTAATATGTATGTAAAATAATTTATTTAATTCCATGTTTTACTTATGTTTTGTAGGTTTGTCAGCAGATGGATCGCGTTTGCGGATCAATATTAAATTCCACATTTCAGAAGCTTCAAGCACAAATGTTGAGTCGTTTCCAAGCAATTAAAGCACAGATGCCAAGACGTGAATCTGCACGTCGTAATCATCCATTAGCTTGTGAATCAGACATAATTGAAACCCTTCACATGAGACTTACTTTACTCCAAATGAGTTTTGGCAAGCATATTGAACGTAAACATTGTTGTTTTTTTCCTGGGGAGGTATATTATCTGTTTCATTTGAGTTATATAATTAAAAATTAATCACATGAGTGTTTCAATTTTTAATTACGTTTCAGATTTTAGACGAAGTTTATCGCATTTTACATTATATAAAAGTTACTCCAAAATTAGCCAGACCATATAAAGTTACCGACGAGTTATTTGATTTAAGTACAATGGCTATGGAATACTTTAAGGAACGCATTGAGCCGACATTACCAGAAATTCCTTATTTTGGAGCCGATTTTCTAGATCTTGCTGGGACATTCTCCTGTAAGTAGAAAATTTGAAAATTAAAAATTCTTTTAGGCTATATCAGTTCGTCATTTTGTAATATAATTTCGATATATTTTTATTCAAATGTTACAGCTTCTAGTAATGTGAGTAAACCATTTATTTGTCTGGACTCCGCGCCTTTGAATGTTGGAAGTGGAAAGGGTGGAAGTAATAGCGGAGAAGAAGGATCCTCGCCGCATTCTTCGGACGATCCTGTTCTTTTAGAATCGAATGTATCACCTCCACAATCAAACATGGTTTTACGAAAACGGATTCGCAAGATTAAACAGGGCATGAAACGATACAATAGCCAGTTAACGTTAATGCGTAGAGATTTGAGGAGTTGCAAGGCAAAAATAGCTGAACAACAAAAACAAATTGTTGAATATGCTACACGTCTTGATGACAATGATAAGAAGAATGAGGAAACCTCCCGAAAATTTAGCACGCTCCTACAGGTATTTACTAAGGTACACTTAGTACTCATAAGTATAATGTGTGACAGAGAAAACATACGTGTAAACAATATTTTGTTATTTAAATATTTTGTGAAAATGATTAATAGCATGAAAATCTATGACGTTTAGATTTGAAGGTAAAATTATAAACGTATTGTAATATTTTGTTGATAATTTGTAATTTACAAAATTAGATATATATATTTTATAGGAATTAAACAAGTGTAAAACAGAGCTTCAGTATTGGCGATCGAAATCTCCAGCAATACCAGTGTGTGTAGTTTGTGGTCAATCTATGTTGGTACCATCAGAGGACATACAAGTTCTAACCAATCAAGGTGTACTATCAGAGACGCTTGATGAAGGTTTGGACTTCATCCCTATAGCAGACGCGCAAAGTCCGACTGAAGTAGCTCCACAGCCAGTAGTTACACAGCCTTCATCGCCACCACCGACTGTGGAAATGGCACCACCAAAGGCTCCTGTGCCTTCATTATCTACGAAACGGAAATCTACTACAGAGGAAACTCCAAACGATGCCGGAAAGAAACCACGCCGTGCCACCAAGTCACGTCAGGTCAAACGTTCGAAGATGTAAATCAATTCTAATCATGGTACAAAAATATCTATCTAACATCCTTATTGGGTTTTCGAAAGAGGTCTTTCTACTTAAAGCATACATGTTTCTTTATGCTAGCGAAACAAATGATCTTAGAAAAGTACAAAATTCTTTCTTGAACGTCCTGCATTTCGCGCAACGAACCTCATTTTGAAAATTATAGCCACGTTGGTTGTCACGTGAAGGGAACCAACGCGATTGATTTTCCTATTTTATTATGGACGAATTTGTCACACATGGTGACATCTACAAATATTCTAAATGATAGCTGATCATTTGTATTGTTCGTAAAGTAACATGGAGTAACTTTTTCGAGCCTTTTTAATTGTTATTATTTTTGCGATGGTATACACAAGGAAAGCGGAAGCGTTGAATTTGATGTGAAATGTTCATTTTATAACGATCACTTGCTATGGAGCAGATCAAACGTCATTAATGAGGTGACGAATAAGAAGTTCACCTTCTGTATTCCTTGAATAGAAACAATGCACTGATTTACCATTTACTCGCAAAATATTTCGAATGTTTTTTCTTTACTGTAATGATACTTTTATCCCAAACATTTTATCCTTAACAGTTTAATTAAATACCCACCAGACAATACAGGAATTAATATAAAATGCAATGTTTGGTAGTCACACAAAAAGGAGGTTCTTTGTATTAAAGTCACTACAAAGTATGTTTGGTGTCTTCAACTTACAAAAGAATACCGATAACATATTTTACTGTTTAGTACAGTGTTAAACGAATAAAAATCACTTTACGTGATGAATTTTGTTCCGCGAGGCGGGGGATGTTCTTGTCTTTATAGAAATTTTTACGAAAAATTTCGAGTGGACATTGGATATGATTCTAGCAAATTTTATTTTGCAGTATCAACAATAAATAAGTACCTGAGAGGACTGAGTGGGGATTGGTTCGCGCAGGTACTCCAAGTTCATCAATATTCATATCAATTTTCTAATTTATCTAAGTCTGCTCAATTGAAAATGTATTTCTCTTTAAAATGATTTGTGTATATACCACTTATGTTATGAGTTTAGCCATAAAATGGGTAGCAAATGTCAAAGGCTTTGTAAACTGAATTGCTTTTGCATAATGACATGTGATATCAGTTTATCTTTCTGAATATTGACAGGTAAACTTGTAATTGAAAAAAAGTAATTTAATAGAGCAGCTCACCGCGATGAAATCAAAACAATTTTACTGATATAAAATTTCGTGAGCCTTAAAAATGCGATGTTGGGGAGAAAGTGAATTGTAAACGTGAGCAAAACATATTAAATACCTTGGAAGGTATTATTTTGTTTTCAACGCGCCATCTTGTAAATGAGCGATTATTTTACGGGATGGTGTATATTGCAATATTAATAGTGCTAGGAAATTATTTATAGGATCAATTATTTATAGGAGAATGATTGTCAGATCATTTTAAAAAAATTTTGGAAACACCAATTTTCTAATTTATCAATCACGATAAAAATTTACTAAGTTCACATCACATTCGTAAGAAAAAAAATGAAGAGAGGAAAGTAGGAAGCACTGAGCAATTATTTAACTAAATCAATTGAAATTTCGCGTTTACGTAATTTCCTTTTAAATCGGACGGGTTACCCTGCGCGATGTTCGATGATCGGTCTGTGTAGATTCAATTATTTTATTTGCACCAATCCTAATTAATCTCTAAGATGCGTAGTTCGAAATATTGTGAGTTATTATTATTCATGATTCTAGTAGTAAATATAAAGGATACTGATAATAAGTAAATGATACTTTATTATGAATATATATATGTATATATATACATACATATATATACATATATGAGTGCGGTGTTTGCCAGATATGCATACCACACAGAGCACTTTAGTTTAAACTTTAATGGAACAATAAGATATAATAATTAATTAATGATGAAATATTACCGAAATATATATATGTACGTATGTATATATATATATACATATATGTATGTATATGCTTATATATATATACGTGTATATATATATCTATATAATTTTTTATCGATGTCGAAAATTAATTAGGAAAAATAAACCTAGTGAGCAGATGGAAACACGTGTACGTCATAACACGCATGTATGAGATAATTTGAACGAGAGAATAAGAGCGTGTGATATATAAAAATACTAAATTCAAACTTAATGAGAATTTACGATGTGATGCTTTATCGATTTAACTGCGGGAAAGTGACCTTTATTCAAATAAAATACACGTGGGGCGTTTCTGGCTACAGAAAATATGTGTGAATTTTACCTAATGTTATGTTGAATAGGATTGCGGGGGCGGGCGTAACTAAATCGCCGTGTCGGAAATTTCGAAATGCTTGCATTGTATGTTTATGTCGCGACTAGCGGTACGTTCGGACAGACCAAAAAACGAGAAGAAAGAAAAAGAAAATTTGAGAACATCGAATAAATCGTGTATCAAAAGACTCTTTTTACACGAATATATCTAGGCCCCTGATGTAACAGCATCCTGTGTACAATCTTCAAAGAATTGTATTTAGGAATCAATAACTGAATGTACCTCATGTACTTCTACTGAAATATTTACTCTTTCGACGATACACGTTGCCAGTTTATTGTCTTAAAATAGTTTACAGTCCTCGGCTTTCCGACATTATCCGTCCCCGAACGATACAAATGTAGCGTTGTGTACTATGTATATGAATCTACTAAGATTAATCGAATATAACAATGAATACACAATTAGAGGTAGACTAATTTCCTAATTAGTAGTGCCGTGTGTTATGATTGCGAGCACAAAACGATAATTTTCAATTTTGATTCGTCACGAATTAATCCGAGGACCATATTCGTTCGCAGTATGTACATACTAGCAAGTAATGGTCTCCGGATCAGGTACACAATAAGCAATTACAAAGAAAATATTATACGCGTGTACTTTGGTAATTACAGACACGAGAAGGAACATAGGAATACAATTGCCAGCGTTAGGGCCCGAAACGTCGTACCGCCGAAGAATGAGTTATATTAAATGGTTTTACATGTATTAAAGCGATTGTAAATATATATTATAATATATATTATATATATGATATATATATATATATATATCATATATATATATTATATATATTATATTATAATATATTAGATACACCTTATAATAAACGTAATTTAACATAAAATGTACCCTTGGATGCCTTCTATGTTTGCATTACATTAAAAAAGAACCCAGGTACACTAAATTTTCTATGGTCAAAGGTACAGTCCAGCATACAATGATATTCTTGTTCCTTTCTTAAAATACACGAAAGAAAACGTATATTTTGCGCAAACTATATTGTACGTCAAAATAAGTGTAGAACATACTGAAAGGCGACTTCGTGGTATGTGTTCCATGAAAGTCACAGAGGAAAACATGAATAAAAACTAAATTTCATGAGGCAAGAAGATAGTACTTTTGTAGAAACTAATTTATTATATTCGTACAACAACAAGGTAATTGTTTAATATAGCTTAGATTTAGTAGATTAATTGGATGGGGGGGGGAATATTTTTTAAATCGAAAGTCCGTAGAATAGCGTCTATACGAAGCCAAAGGTTCGTTAAATCCAAATGTTTATAAAAAGCATCTATATAAAACCAAAAGTCCGTTAAATAACAAATTATATATTTTTAAGAACAAAACAATTTGTTTTTACATTACAAACTATAAATTTAGCTATTTACGAGTACAATGCATATCAGGCATTAATAAATATATAAAAATAAATCATTCACAAAATTTGATGTTTTTTTTGTTAACAACGAGAAAAGGTATATATTTATTTTATATAAAAGAGAAATTTTTTAACCCATCATCTTTTACATTTATTATCATGAGAAATTACCCCATTTTAAAATAATATGTTTAAGAACCAAATGGCATACAACTTGGGGATTAAATTAAAGACTTTCTGTTTCTGTTGAAGTGCAACTGCATTGCATTGTTTGCTTTCATATAAAGTTGACCTTGATTTTGTAATATAATAGATTTCACATTGTAAAAGCAAAATATTATTAATATCACTCTTATCCGATTATTTTACTCAATCTATTTCTTAGTTTCCTTGAAAACTATATAGATATTCTTATATTTTCGCTAAAGTAATATTTTCTACTTCCGTTTCTGTTTTATGACTCAATAGCAGTGAAAAATTACAGTTGCCCAAATGTCTTGAATCTACTATCATTTTGTACTACCGAACTCCATTTCTATTTACGTTTTATTTTATAATTTTCACGAAATACAGTTTACGATTCTTGCGAATAGATTTTGACTTCAACGAAAGTGAAAAAGATATGTATTCTTTATAATAATATAAAAGATTAGGATACAAGTTTTCGTCATGGAAAAGACAGATGCTGCGTATTTTAATGGATAAAAAGGACGAACGAGATATACATGAAAAAGAAAAGCCGCGATAACAGAACAGTCGAACATACACGCGCCGGTTGAAGACGACAGAATAGAGCCGTTCTATTAGAGCGCGCAAGAGAAAGTCGCATCGCAACTATCACAAGGGCGGCTCAGCTCGAGTGCCCTTTACGGACAATAGCCTAAGCATTGAAAGCGCGGTAATTTTAAACAAAAGTTCATACATATTTAACAATGATAATGCCTTTCCGTACGTTTACGTGTGCAAAATATACGTTTTCTTTCGATTAACTTAAGAAAGTTACAAGAGTGTCGAGTGTATTATCATTTTATACTGAATTCTAGATAATTGATTTACTCTTCTTGGCTTACCGCGACCCTTGACATTCATTTTCGTCTGCTAGTCGAGCACGTGGCTTTGTTTGACAGTTTATGCTCCGTTTGCTACGGATAGGTGGCGAACCTGCTTTGTCCGACTGTCGAGTCGACGGTATCGACACTGTCGACCACTCTCAACAGTTACATTACTGCCGCCGAATATGGCCGTATAGTAATATCACGAAATAATTTGAGGATTGTTTGTTTATAAAATTTATAATATGTTGATCGTGTTTCGTACAAGCTAGAAAAATTTCGTAGATTTTTAGTGCTTTTATTAATATGACGGTTTGTTGAACGAATCTTTATAGATAACTGTGTTCCTTTATTTTCCACTTTCGGTGCATCTTGTTGCAATTCTATTGTAATATTTCCACGTACGCGTTTTAATATCATTTTGTTTCTTCTTCACGTTGATCCCTCCACAAACTAATCACTGACGTAATGGCAGATACGTTGCGTAAAGATGGATATGAAATATGTGAGTGAAATTGTACTTTGCACGATTTTAATCTTACGACTGCGTTTCTCCGTTGCTATTAAATATTCCATGGTTATACATTTGATAACAATAGTTACACAAAGTTATACATTTTGTACTAAGTTGTTTATAATAGCTGACGTTTAATATTACGATATAAAGATAATTTAATATTGGTTTATTAGTTCTTATATAAGACATTAAAGAGGAGTTAATAAATTTTAGTGAATATTTATTGTTTTGTGTAAGTAGCAAACATAACGATGCGTGGTGGAGGTGGTAATATGGCAACAGATAGTGATATGAAGCTAGAGCCGTCTAGTCCTACAGAGAAATATACGTTCTCTCGTTGTAGTAGTACTGGCTCTGTAAATACACCATCTTCATCTGCTCATAATACAGGTAAGTAATTGAATTATATAGACTAATTAATTAATTTATAAAGTAACATATTATATAAGCTTTCCAAAGTAAAAGATGATTATATTTTTAAAAAAATTTTGTAAAACTAATTATTTGTAGAGGATGAAGACAGTGATAATAAAAATTCAACGATAAGTTATAAAGAACGCAGGAGGGAAGCACATACTCAAGCAGAACAGAAGCGAAGAGATGCTATTAAGAAAGGATACGATTCTCTTCAAGATTTGGTTCCTGCTTGCCAGCATACCGATTCATCAGGTTATAAGCTTTCCAAGGCTACTGTACTTCAGAAATCAATTGATTATATACAATTTTTATTGCAACAAAAGAAAAAACAAGAGGAGGACCGTAACGCACTAAGAAAAGATGTTGTTGCTTTACGTATTATGCAAGCTAATTATGAGCAAATTGTTAAAGCTCATCAAACCCAACCGGGACAGGCTGAAATGCGTATATCCGATGAAACCAAATTTCAAGTGGTAAATCTAAATTTGGTTTGCGAATAGTGAGATTACATTTACATTATTTTGGACATATTTTGTAATTAAAATTTTAATAAAGTTTCAGGCAATTATGGATCGTTTATTTCAAACATTTAATAACATTTCTGTAGCAAATTTTGCAGAATTATCTGGGTGTGTGTTTAGTTGGTTGGAGGAACATTGCAAACCACTGGTAAATAAATTACTTTCCATATTGTATATATTTTATTCATGAATTAATAAATGGTGTTTAATAAATACATAACAAATGTTTCAGACTTTGCGCAATGTAGTACTATCTGTACTCCAACAGCTTAACAGCCAAATCAGCTAGCTGAGTATATTACTAAAATTTATAATTGCACAATACGATGTTTATATAAATTTTTCGCTGATACTTAGGTCAATCGTCGGTACGTGTTTTATGTGCAATACGGGTGGCATAATGATTGCACGAGAAATATAAATAAAAATTTATTTTATATATTAATAAAGATGCAGATATAAACATGTAATGTGTTGTAGAACTTCCTCGTGCCGTTATTGGCGACTAAACGATGTTATATATTTTTACTAGAAATTTTTTATTACATATACTTTGTCGCATATGTATGATATACAGCGTATGTACATATATGTACGAATATATTCGAGTATGTACATAATATATTAACTCCAATATAGCAGCTTGAAATAAAAGTCCCATCATCCATGTTTATGTTTTATGGTTATAATCATCCACATTAATTCTCTTCCAGTATTGTCAATTCTTAATAAAAAATCCACATCGTAATAGTAATTTTATATTAGAGTTCTTTTTTAATTAAATTTTCTCAGATTCCGTGGGCATACTTTCTCCTTGCGTAATATCATTTAAAAGTATTGCATCGAATCTAGGTCTATTAGGATTGTCAGGTTCATGGTGAGGACTATGAGGACGTCTTCTTTTTGTTCTGTCCTCGGGTCTACAGCATAGGTCCCGGAAGATACAGGCATAACAGGCCAGCAACGCGCTCATCATCGTTAAACCGCTAATAGCGAGGATTACCACCAAGAAAATTGATATTTCGTCACCCATGTTACATTATATTCCGAATAATCTTCCTAGTCAATGTTTAAACCATCTGTAACAAAGATCAATACATTAATTCTGAATAAAAATTGAAATAGTTTTGTTTCGAAAGAGACAATCTCCTTCTTATTTCTTATTTTATTCGAATACCATAGAAGAAATGACAAAACAATCGTGATTATTTTTTTTTACGACAGTCGTAAAAAGAAACGTCTTTTTTATAGTCTATTTTATCTTTTAATATCCGCAATTGTAAACCTACTTTCTATAGATTGATAAAGTACTTTTTATCAAAATAAATGTGTAAAAAATAGAAGAGTGATTAAAATTTGCTATAAAGAAATATTGTCTTTTGTACAAAGAAACTCTGCTTCTTTAAAACGAGGATATCTTGGATGCGAAATTGAAGGATCAATCCGCTCTTCCTGTAATCCAATTTATTCGTCGGTAGTCACGTACGGGTGAAAAATCGTTGAGTGAACAGCTCGAGAATATTCCATATCGAGTGTACTTTAGAGGATCTAGTTCTATCTGTTTGAGATTCATCAGAAATATTTTGTAGACAAAACAATATTGTGCTTTTTATTGCCAAGATTAAGGAAGGACGATCTTATAATCTAACTTATATCTATAAAAATATTTTGTCAGTTCTTCTGAAAACATAGTTTTCACGTTATACATATACTATGTATAGTGTTTGTTATTAGTTTGTTTAATTTGAAACGTATACAAACATTGTCGTTCAAAATTCTGGCACACCTTTCCATGTTTATAGCAGATAAATCTTTTCACTAAAAATGTACTTTCGTGGTAAAAAAACATTACTTAGGTATCGTATAGGATCAAAAATTGTATGTTGTAAATATTCTTTAGAAAAATATGAAAAGTTTACGAACTGCTCTGTCTCGAAAAGACGCGAAGTAAAGTTTGATCATGTTGTAGTATTATACATTGTATATCGCTTCTGGTGATCAATTATCTAGTTGCTTTGTCTTCTATACTGTTTTATGGACAAGTTGACAGTAGCCTTCCATTATTAAGTAACAATTTATATCAACAAATTTTTAGTTGCTTGAAATAGAAGATTACGAAAAGTGAATGTTAATAATTCACGGTGAGACAACGTCTAAACCTAAATGCAATAAGAATCTTCATGTCAAATTATAATTAACGTTCAATTAATGTACAAGGTGTTCAGTCACCCCTGGGAAAAATTTTAATGGGTGTTTCTAGAGGCCAAAATAAGACGAAAATCAAGAATATCAATTTCTTGATGGAGGCTTTGCTAAAAAGTTATTAACGTTTAAAGTTTCGCCCGTACAGAATTTTTTTCTCGAAAATGTGCAGGATTTTGGGGGTATGTTTATTCACCAAAAATAATTGTAATTGACTCCTGCAACCGAAAATAATTTTTCCAGAACGATTTGACATTTTTTTTTTTCGTTGAAAAATGTAGGCACCAAATTAGATTTTCGGTAAGAAATTTTTTTCTCGAAAGTGCCTAGGATTTCGGAGGTATGTGTATTCACCAAAAATGATTGTAATTGACCCCCGCAACCGAAAATAATTTTTCCAGAACGATTTGAAATTTGTGAATTTAATTGTTAATAACTTTCTAACGAAGCCTCCATCAACAAATTGGCATTCTTGATTTTCGTCTTATTTCGGCCTCTAGAATCCCCCATTAAAATTTTTCCCAGGGGTGGTCGAACACCCAGTATAACTAATATAAATATAAATATGTTTCAGAATATTTTGGAAATCTTTGTTCAACGTCCCCGTTATATCACAGCAACGTTGTTCGAAATATTTCAGAAACGTGACTGCAACTTGCTCAAAGGTAGACATTTTAGTCACGCACCAGCGACATTTCAGATATATTTCACCAAATATTCCAAATCTTGCGCGAAAATGCTTCTACAGTCATTCGTGTTCATACGTGGACAAATTTTATGACGAAACTTTCGCTTCAGTCGAATAACATTTATGAAAGTATACTGTCTTGAAAAGAATCGTTAAAGCATAAAAAAGATAAGAGCTCAACAGTTGTACAATGATTTTTTTCATAGTTATTAAGAGCAAAACTCTTTTCTCATAAACTATATATTTTGTTTCTTGGGAACATTTAAATTCAATTATCGTTTGTTTATCGTGTTTATGCAAGAAATTCATCTAGTAATCGACATAGAAGGGAAGGTGCTATCAGTGCCAGCGATTACACAGATTGCAGTATGGCTTTGGCTGTCGATAATAGTTACCATAATTTTCAATGGAGACCATTACGGTTTTTTGTTAGCTAACAACATGCCAATTACTTCAGATTGTAGTAGCATGCGTTGTTTATTTTATGCGAAATTCGTGAAAGGCAAATTTACTGTTTTATAAAATAAACGATAGCCAGACATTTTCTACTAAAATGTGAGAAATACACTGGTAAAAATAAGCGGAGATTTCTTATAAATCTTCTCGATGAACGGCACAAATAAATTTAATATTATTAGACATGTATTATAATTTCTAGATACGAGATACATGAAATTTGTTAATAATATTTTATTTGCCCCTTTTATTGCTAACTAAAAAATGTTAATACGTTAATTAAATGTACCCCGATATCTAGCATGGATGTATCGTTAATATGACACTCTTTTTACTTTTAGATCCGGTCCAAGGACAAAACATACTTCATTGGACTAAATTAACGAGGATACGGATGTTTCTAGTCTTCGTAGTTACTCTCAGGAAGACATCAGTATGTATAATTGAACCAATAAGGGCTAAAGAGTCTTGCAATTATTGAGGTAAGCGATCTAATATGGTTCTCTACTTACTCAATATAACCCCACCACCTATATTTCAATTCTTACGTAACTACTATAAGACTTAATGCTTGTGTTATTAGAATGAATTGACAAATGGCTGGTTGATTCAAATAATTATTACAGTAAAATATTTTACGAGTCAATTTCAGTTCAATATTATTTGTTGAAAACCAAGAGCAAAACATACGAGGAATATTTAATACAAAATATATTTTTCATATAATTAGATGTTATTCGATTACTTGTTATGAGAAAACTAACTTTTTTTTTATCTTATTTTTACTTGTAAACTAATGGAAAATAATTGAATCTTGATTATTTCGTTATTTAACCCTGAAATGAAATAGTTTTTTATTTTTTAATTTCTATTTATTTTTGGGTTATGTTATTACTTCTTTTCTTTATTTTATTTCATTTCTCGCTGCGTTAATATTACGTAATAGGATCAAGCAAGTTTTCTACAGAATTATACTTCTTCAGAATTAAGTAAGTTTTCTATTGAATTACACTTCTTTAGAGATGAATTATTTCGCTCGTAACGAAGAAAAATCTAATATAAAACTCGATTATTCGTATTAATTGAGAATAAAAGAGTAAGTTAAAACTATTTAAAAAAATATTTAAAAATGTATTTAAATATTTAAACAAAGTATTATTGTACCATTCTAGTCTATTTCTACTTTTGTGCATTAATTTTCTTATTTGCTTTCTTCTTAACACGCGATAATTCGTTACCTCCTTTTATATTCATTCAGTCTTTTGAAATGAATGTTGTTTTCTTGTCGCGAGACCAAAGCGTGCAGTCATATAGACATTACAGCTAGTCGACGTTCCAGTTAATTAAATTGGTTTGCAATCGCAATTTGCTTTCCGTGTACGAATCACGCTAGAATATTTAACCCGCGGAATTAGCCTCATGTCTCATTAGCTGTCCACGAGGGATACAAAGGATTTGTTAAAGAATCGTTCGGCTGTGTGAAATTGCAAGGCTGAGGCTGGAAGATTACGCGAAAATTGGCAACCGGTGCGAACTGAAATTGCACGGGCGCAATAAATACGAAAATTTAATCGATGTAACGAATAGAAAAAGGGAAAATAACATTAAGCTAACGTTAGCTGTATTGTGTGCAAATCTTTGTTATACTTTGTACAATACTTTAAGGAAGATAATATTACGAGTAATGTTTTCGAAATTAAACATTCGAAGTGTCAAGCTTTCGTGATCGAATCGTTGTTAAAGCAGATATTGCGATCCATACAATGGATCTGGATGCCATTTGTTATAAATAGACTGCGGATCTTTATGCAAATTCACATTTTTAATAATAGAATTAATGAAACGGAAGCTTCGCAGAGGGCTGTCTCAACCCCTAAATATAATAATTCGTATCTTACTTTAAGTACTTCTTACATTTTTGCATATTAAATGCATTCTGTAGTTTTTTGAGGATTAAAATTTCCCATAAATGCATAAACATACGCAGTCTAGTTATAAACTTTGATTGTAGAGTGGGACAAGTAAGATTGAAAACTAGCTTTTGCCCGCGGCTTCGTTCGCATAGGAAACCGTTTAGTTCCCTCGGAAATAGATATTGTTTCTCCATAAAACCTTTTAAGCCCCCATTCACCTCTATAGAGTTTTAATTTTATGTCATATCTCCATCTTACATTTCAAAATTGATACCATTTTCGTAATTAACGCCCCAAAAGACCTTCGTACATGTTAAATTTAAAGTTTCTAGATCCATTTACGGAAATAAGGCAACTTTAATGCGAAATAAGTGTATCAATGAGCATTCGCGATCAAGTATCAGGTAAATCTGACCACGAACAAAATATGTCCCATACAAACGTTGCAACCCCTTTTC